TCTATCAGCTCTGATCTGACTGATGCCTGCACCACACACATAGAGTATGTTAAACCATGTCGGGGGGGTTACTGCCAGGCTCCTCCTGCCCCTTAGCTTTCAGCTGCTGCCCGTGGGATGAGATGGAGTGACACTGTCTGTGCTTTTGATCCAGACATAACAGCAGAGTCACAAATTAACAGAGAGACTTACAAAGCTCTTGCGTTCTCCCAGGAACCACGTTAATGGGTATCAACAACACAAGGATTTCAGCATAAGAAGGTAACAGAGAGGGATGAGTGAGTGGAAAGAAAAGTTAGCTATAACTGCACAAAAAACTGCAAACTGAAGCTTCTTCTGTCTTGCAGGGAATAACAACAACAAAAACAACAACAAATCTTGGAGCAGAAAGGAAAATACTTCTAGTGAGGGGTTGCAGCTCTTTATTTCTGAGTCATACATACATATGCACATACAATGATATTAGATATCCTTGCATTGCTTAATCTATAACTCAAATCAGCATAGGTATTTTAACAAAAGAAAACAAATTGTAACTGCTAATTTATATTTGATCTGAGCACTCTGATACACAGTAGAAAAAATCTGTTTATAAAAGGTTATATTTGTGCAGTTATATGTACTTCTTCCAACAAACTGCTATTAATATTGATACATTACTGTTAGTAGAATATATAATTGCCATAACATTAAAAAAAACATTTTTTTCCCAAATATATCAATATGCAAAGACAATCACATCTTTTTCTTTCAACTGTTTTCATACCATCACACTGATGCCCTATTTTATTTTAATGCAATATTTGGCTTAAAGAAACTCCTTCCATCTCAGATTGCCACTATTAGTCTGTCCACATTAATGAAATTATTTAATGTGTACCTTTGCTGTTCAGTAATTCCATTCAATACCTGCATAATGAAATTCATCTCTGAGCTGACACGTGCCACTAAGACTATAAACCACTTTTAATCCATCTATTTAGATCTTAATGAATGAATAAAGATTTATGCTGAACCTCTCTGCTCAGCAGCAAAATTCACCTTCAGCCAACACTTCTCTCACCTATAGTGTAACACAAGTCAATCCACGCTCATTCTAGGTGACTTAAACTATAGGTCTACAGAAGATGTGACTTCATGCTACTAATTGCTGTAACAGTTCAGATCTAGGTCAAGCATAATTAGTACCTGGAAGTTAACACAAATATTAATTTCTACATAAAGCATTATCTCCAGTATATTAAGTGGCAGCACTGTTATAAGACAGACACAAGAAGAGACATCTGAGAAACTGTGCAAACTACCAGATCCTAATTAAGGGCATGATAAGGTCGGGTTATGGAGCAGCAATGACGCTGAGCAGGATTGGGCCCTTCCCCTATGACAATTACCAGGAATTGACAGAACGGTGTGATAAAGCTATGTAACTAAGGTGACAGAGAAGCAACATATGGACTTTTCAGCATAAAACAGGCACTTCTTATGCTGACTGATAAAAGAGCATTTGTCAACTTTTCATCTCTCTGACACGAGGGTCAGTCTTCGTTAGAGCAGCTGAACTGTGAGGCGCACCGCGATGGGCGCCCGCAGTCTCCCTTCTTGCAAACACACAACACAAAGCAGGAGATAAAATCTGTGAATCGCAGAATGAAAATACCAGTTTTTTGAAAGAAGGGTAAAATTAATTTTCACTCTTACTAAAAACCAAGATACAGCTGTCCTGCCTTTTTCTTAAAATTTATTCCCTGGAGAACTTTGGTTTGTCTTCTCTAACTAATAATATTGGAAGTGGGGCTAGACTTAATGCACGCATAAAAATAAGAATGACTAAGTTATCTTGAAATGTTACTTCTAAGGATTTCTTTTTACAGACAAATCAGAGAATCCACAAATGTGGATTCTGTAATTCTAGGGTATATGAGAATCCCTTAAATCTAAGAATACTATTTCAGACAGTGCATAATACTGTTTGTTCCCACAGGAGATCCTAAAAGGAAGGTGGATCAGCAGGTTCGGATTGCATGAATGTGTTTGTGTGTTAAGGGAAGAAAAAGGTTCATCTCATTCTTGATGCTTCTCTTTTTAAAGGAAATAAGCAGAATTAATTTGAGTATTTTTTTTTTGCACTCCTTTGTAAAAGAGGTGTCTGAGACATTGTACGTTATTTTCCATTTGACAATTGGGACTTATAACAGAGTTTTTCACATTGACATGCAGGACAGCAGCAAAGAAATGCTGGGGGATTTTTTTGTTTGTTTGTGTTTTGTCTTTTTTGTTGTTGATTTTTCTCATTTATACTTGTCTGTATTGTGATACAGACAACAAAATAGATTTTAACATTTATTTTTCTCACGATAAATGCACTCTGAAGCATACTTTGACACTTATCCCTAACAAATGATCATGACATGCAACTGTAGATTTACACATTTAACCTTCAGTTTTTAGTAAAAAGTTCTGGCTGAAAAAACAGGCTTAGTAAACCAATAGTAAGATAACAATGTTCCAAGGCTTTCATAATACATGACAAATGTTTACAGGATTGGTGTTTTGTACAAAGCTATCCCTCAAAAAAATAATAATACTAAATCAAATTATCAAAATAATATTAATTTCAATTAATCATTTGTCCTCTGGGAAGCCTCTTTATTGACTGATTTTAAAATATAATAGGATTTTCTGTGGCCAAAATAGAAAGCCAGTAGGGTTAAGTGATCATGGAGACTTTTCAGACAGCAAGAAACAGGCTCTTAAAAAAAAAAAATCCTGCATCATTTATCAAATTCTTTAAAAAAATAAAGTTGTAGCTGGTTTGTGAAACCAGGCTAATATTTGTTGTCATAATAACTATTTTGGTTTCTTATGCATAAACATTAATATACTGAAAACAAAACTGAAACGCAACTACATACTTACTGACTCACTCATGAGGCACATTGTTGGTAAAATAGTACAGTATTTTTAAACAGAAACTGCACACACTTATATAAACCAATGTTAATTGATAGAACATTCCTAATCCAAACTATATTTCTGAAAACAACACACATAGCTATGTCGAATTTTCTGCCGTTTCCATGGCAACAGGATGGGCCCTTTTGCTTTTCTTGGATTGCTAAATGGCGCTGAAGAACTGTAAAATAAATAAAATGAACCACTGCCTACTGTATACCATGGCCACGGGCATGTGGGTGATGAAAGTCCACACAAATTCTCTTCTTCAAATGCCTGCAAGGGGTACTTTTTATTTCAGACTCATGCCAAAGCTGCATATTAAGAGAAAAAAATAAGGAAAAATAAATCAGTGGTATGAAACACTTTGCTACTAACTTTCCCAAATTTAAAGATGTGCGAAGTATTAAGCACGTCATCCTTCATTTACTTATGCACTTATTACTTGTGTATTGAGTAGAATTAGACACTGGATGTGGAAATTAATAAGCTATGGATGGCTCAAAAATATTTTTAAAACTATGGTTTTGTCATTTAGTAAAAACAATATGTTATCCAATTCCTTGCACACATTCTTTAGAATAAGAAACATCATAAACATCATACCAAAACAGTTTTCCTTCATAGAATTCATGAAGGAAATGAACGACCTGTGAAGGTCATTATCAGCTACAGCACATGCAGAATTATTGTGGATTATTTCATAAGGATTTTTTTCAGGTAGTCATCAGGTAATACAAGAAATTCTAGTAAATGAGAGAATAGGACAATAAACAAAAGCCTTTGGAATGGATATAAAAAAGAAAACTGAAGCAACTAAGAGCTGGACAGACTCCAGAGAGGTTCCAGCAGAAAGCATACAGAAAAAGTCTCTGTAAAAATGGTGTCTGTCATCATTGTAGTGGCATTTACAAGGGAAATCCTATTTCCTGAGGAAAGGACACCAGAAGTGAATGATACGACTGCAGGAAAATTGTTGCTGCTTCTAAAGACAGATACTCTATTTTTCAGAAAAAATAATTAACAATAATTAACATTTTCTGCCCCCATTCTTATGTACTTAAGCTAAATAAAAATTCTCTTTAAATATTGCCTTTTCTTTGTCCAGCATTTTTCGGTAAAAAGAAAAAAAAAAGCTTATGCCACAAAAGGCAAAAAGCATAAATAAATAGTCTTTAATATGTTATTTAATGACTACTGCCATACAATCACACTGACTAATTATAGCATAGACTGTGTCTGGAAAAAAAATGCTCAGTGGTTCTTGCCAATTGGTCTAACAGTAGGAATTGGGAATTTAGTTTCAGGTTCTGACATATGTGTGATTTTTAACACCAGGCCACTTTATTCAAGCAAAGGTTTACTTGAAAACACGATTTTAAAAAGCTCCATCTCACTCAGTATCACTCATATGTAACTGTTAGAATTATCAGACGCCTTTGCTGAGAGGGGTCAGGATTGCCAGTGTGAAACAGCAGCGTGGTTTGGGATGCCACTGGGAGAGGGGGTCAGCTGCAGGAACGGCTCCTGCTCTCCAGCATCAAAGAGACTTTGAATGGCAGTGACGAGGAAAGGGGAAATAAGTGTGGAAGAAGCTGAGAGGCACAAAAAGTAAAGAGAAGGAAGGAACCAAGGGCACAACTCGGCACTCAAGGGGAAGAGTTTTGCACTGACAGTTTGCTTAAGCTAATCTCAGAATTGGAGCAGCAAATTCACCACCTTTAATAGGGCGAATGCATGTGACCAACTTCACCTTGATCATAATGTACTTTTTCTCTTTACCTTTCATACAACTTTACCTCAATATCCTCCCAGGTAAGAATTGTATCTATTTCTGCTTAATAAGGGTCCATAAACATTTCTGCAACACAAGTATATTAAACCTTAACTTCAGCACTTTTTCTGCATGCAAATATTGAATCAAATTGCTGGGGGAAAAAAGGCCTTTCGGTCTCCAGAAGGTTTCATGGAGTCTACCCAGTCTTAGTTCCTAACTGCATGGTTGTGAAATAATGTCAAAACGTAATAATATTATCAGGCATAAATTCTTACTCCTGCTCCATTGAAGTAATTTCTGGATCATTTGTGAGGCAGCCAGTTCTGGGGGCAAGGAAGAAAGAGGTAGTAGTAAACATTTTGTTTCTGTTTTTTCCTTTTAGATATGAAATGAAATTAGAGGGATGTAATAACTAACTGCAGTGAGTATCTGTGACTGCACAAATGTACAAACATTACTGACAGCAACGTAACAAGCTTAGTGCCTGCAACACTTGAGTAATACTTGCTTATAATTATTTTGATAAGTTGAGGATGGGGAATGAACTGCAGTGACATCATACATTTCACAATAACAATAATCAGTGATGCCACATATGAATATTTAGTTCCTCTCTCACTGCTACGCTGTAGCCTGCATCCTCTTAAATAAGAGGGGTAACAAGAAAACTGCTTATTTTCACACAGTTTTTACTGCCGTATGTATTTGAAAATATTGCTGTCATAATGTACTTGAAAATATTTGATTAGAAACAATACAAGTTGCATTTCATGGGTTGTTTTTTTTCCTCCCTTATGGTTATTAAAATATTCAGGTGGTATTAGGTAATTGCTTATGTGATTTTTTTTTTTTTGCTTCTTAGTCAATTAAGTGCTAGAATCAAGAAGCAGGGGTAAATGTTTGGGGTATTTCTCTGTAGCATTTCTCTCTGGTGATTTTTAAAGTAAAGCTCAGAACTGGACGCAAATGGTACTGCAAAAATGGAGACATCATGGAAAAAAAAAGAGAAAGAAGCAGCTACAAGGCAGTAACACTAAACTGCACAAGTTAAAGGTATGAGACTGAAAAGGGCCTTCAAAAACAGAACCTTAGGTTATAAAAACCCCAAGGAAAGTGTTATATGAGAAGCCACCAACACAGTGCCTGGCGCTGGAGTGCGAGGCACAACTCGTGCTCAGAGACAGCGCCCTGGGTAAATCCTCCCTAAGCTCACTCAGCAAGAGAAGGATTGTGTCCTTCCAGCTAGGGATCTCTGTAGCACTTTATTGCATTCTGCCTCAGCACATCAGAGTCACAGTACAGACTTGGAGTTTAGAACACCTGAGCATCAGCTGAGACATTGATTTATTAATTGATCTTAAACAACAGAGTACTTATCAAGTGTTTATCAACCCACACAACAAACACATGGAAAGACAAGGTCACTTTCCTCAGCATGAAACAGAAGAGCCATTCTTAGCTTAGCAAATTGTTGTACAAAGAATGGCCTCAAGTCTCACTTAAAAAAAAAAAAAAACTTAGTCTTTTAGGACAAAGAAGCAAAAAATGTCTAGTGAACCACTTGGAGTAAATAATGATTTCAGTCCTCCCTGTGACTGCAAAAAAGATTCACATAAAATAGCCAAATGTTTTTTATTTAGTCTAAGAATATGATTAATCCTCATTGGGACCCAAGTGTAAAAAGGCAGGCTGTGCGCAGTGAGAAGGGAAGTCAGTTCCCAAAGGTGGCGACTCACAGTAACCGAAACTATGAGTCGGCTGCTGTATCAAACACGTCATATACTCTTGCATTCAACCCACTCCTGCGAAACAAGCAAGTACAATGCCAGCATCCAGCTGAGAGCTGTCTTACTTAGCTGTTTCTGAAGCTTCCCTCAGCTCTTCATCCAGTCTGATGAGTAAAAGTTATTGATATAAAGAAACAAAGAAGCAAGCAGAGCGTAAGAGAAAAGCAGAGCAATAGCAGAGCAAAGAACGGATACTGTACATGCTTCTAAAATAGGGGCACACTATTATGCACTAACCCTAAAGCTCTTCAGTTCAATAAAGCAGCATCTACTCTTGTTCTTAACCCACCTTTAATTTGTAACTGCTTGTTTAGCTCCTTTGGAGGCAGAAACATAAAAGCAGCAGGGGTCTGACACATGCCCAGTGGAGAGAGCTGAAAGCGTTCTGTTGCTCCATCAGATAGAATTAAACTAGCTGCAGCCTGAGCCAAGTCAAAGGCACTTCCAGGTTGGTTAGTTTTACTCGCAGAAGAGGCTGATCTCAACAGCTTGAAGAGTAAAATAAGACTGCAAACTATTGCAAGGCTTCTCTCATTCAGCTGTTGAGGTCACCTTCAGGCGGAATTTTATTCCACCATGAGCAGCAGCACAGGTTGGAAAGTAATTTTTACCTCATTCTTCTCTTAAAATACTTCTCTTCATCATACCTTACAAGATAAGAGTGGGTGGGGGGGAAAAAAAAGGATATACAAATTCATATGAAAAAACAGGCACACTCTATCTCACTTCAGCAAATACTGTCAAACAACAACAAAAGTATTTCAAACTGTGCCATAAACCCATGTCCTTTCTACAAGTGAAATTCACTATGACCATGGTGGCATTTTTGTTATTTTTGTTCTTGTCAGTGAAGCAATGCTAAAAGCTGCATTTTAATTTTACTACAGGAATCTTTTTCAATTTGAAGCAGATCTAAAACTACCACCTGGAAAACATCTCTGCTCGGACCTCTTCTTTTTTGACACTGAAATATCCATTCTCAGTACCTTGAATGCAGACATCCACTAAATTTTCATACATGACATACTGAAAATGCTTTCCACCAAGGGACATGGGCATGTTAGTTACCTTTTCATTTTTGCTCCAATGCAATCAAGGTCTGTCACCTAAGAGCTGGTAACAAGAAAAACCACTTCCCTAAAATTTCTTAAGCTTTAAGTCCTAAAGTTTCTTTGGTGCTGGAAACCTTTCACCTTTGGTCTGGCAGATGAATGGACTTCAAGGAGTTTTGGTGCATAGGAAAGAAAAGACATCATAGTGGAACAATAAAACAAAGCAAGAAGTTTCTACTTCTTTCTGTTCTTTCTAGAACAGAAAGTGCTACTACTAAAAGATTGGGTTAAGATTCTTATCAAAGGCAACTGGAATGTTTCAGGAATAAAAAGAGGAAGGGAGGGAGGAAGAAAGGGTTAAAGACTATTAGGGGTGATAGAACATTCTGGACATCTTTCTTATCAGATAGTATCTCTCACACCACATCTTACTCTAAAGTCTTTGCAGTCACTCCACCTATAAAGTAATTACACAAGCAAATAAACTTGAGTGAAGCTCCCTATTTCAAGATGGCAATTTACTAATTTCACAAATGCTGCTGCAAAACTGAGCTTCCTGATTGCTCTCTAAAATTACACCAGAAGAAGACTTAGAATAAAAGGAACCACTAGTCTGACAAAGGAAACTGTTGCATTCTACTACTACGGGACAGACAACCTATCTGGGTTGAAGGGATCTGTGAGAGCTGGTAAAGAAAGGCTCCTCATATCAAGTCATTGTTAAACTGTAAGGAAAAGATAAGCAAATACTTCCCTATTCACCCATCAAAACAGTTACTTGAACAGCATCTTTGCATTTATTTAAAATTGAATACATTTGTTATGTAAAAGTAAAAAATAATGCATTCCCTGACAACAAAAATGGAGACTGCCTTTCAATTCTAGCTAAGGGTTAAATCATGAAAAATCCATGAGAAAAGGAATGTTAAATCTATGGAATTTCAGTGGATTTCTATTGAACTGCTTTCTTTTGAATTACTGTTTCAGTTCAAAGCTCTGTACGAGCTAAAAAACTTAAAAGCACAATAAGACTTAGCGGTAACAGGGAAAAACAAGGTATAAGGGATGCTTGTGGAAAGATCAAGGCTTCCTATTTTCCTTCAGGCTTACAATTAGTGAATGAATAGTCTTTTCCTATTCTGATTACATAGTCCTAAGTGTGAGGACAGGACTTTGAGACAGAAAGTTTGTCCTCATTTTCACCAACTCTATCATCTGATCAGGTACAAAACCTTCCTCTTCCTATAAACTTTGGTTCCCTTAGGATTTTTATTTATTTGGTTTAGTTTTCAATGACAGAATGTTTCCCCGCTTCAGATTTTGATAGAGTAATTTTTCTGAAACAAAATGTGAACATTTTGTGACAAAATCTCATACAAGTATATAAATTTTCTTGCAGATTCTCAAACACTACTATGCCTAAACACGACTTGGAAGAGAATACCCGGTTATACCCATGTAGCAGACAGCCTGTTTAGACAGTGGAGATACTTGTCACTAGTACAAGCAGATCACTTACTTGACAATGCTCTCTGGTATGTGCACATATTCCATTGGAATCATCTCACGGAGCTCTGCAAGAGTGCTGACATACTGTATCTTACTGCTGAACTTGGAGCTGCGACACAGAAACAGTGTAGATAAACTGAGTTTTCTCGCATGATTGGAAAAAATAAACACCAAGAGACATCTACCTGTAATCTAAGCAGTTGCCTATTTATATTCTAGTTATATGTAGTAGTTCTGATGATCATTAACATACCTCTGTTCTAGTGAGGCTGAAATCAGACTCAGGCCTTTGGCTGTTCTTTGGCCAGGCTGCATCATAATATTTAGGACAGTATTATAAATTGTAATGCCTGTACACTAGGCAATACAATTAGTTTTATAGTTTGAAGACAATATATTCAAATTCTAAAAATAACCTAATTCCATGCAGCATATTTACACCCAAAAAAAAAAAAAGAGGAGAAGCATTTACTTCAATTGATCATGATGAATTAGCATTCAGATTTAACTATGATTCCTCACCAAACAGAACACAGCTGAACTTCACTTTGCGTTCGAACAGATTTGACTGTGTGTGGGCATGTCTATTCTCCATGTAGGGTCTTATTATGAGGAATATTCTTTGCTTAATCCAATCTGTGCTACATGATCATTTATTACACTTGAGAAACTATCATAAACAGATACTATCATATAATATCTATTCAGAAAATATATTTAACAAGACTATTGCTTAATCTGAATCACTTGTTTAATCTTATTTATTGATTTTTAAAGTCTATTAGAATGTATCTTTATTTAGACTCCAAGCAATTCTCCATGTTCAACTCTGATCACCTTTAGACAGTTTTTTAACATCAGAAACAGTGATGAATGCATATTGACAATGAATATTCTTAAGTCTGGGCTTTGAAAAACGCAACATATTGTTCCTATTCACCAATAATTCAGGTGGTATGATCAGACAACACAAAGTATCTGAAAGAACTCTTAGCAAAAATTACTGCCGCTTTACTAGCGACATTTCTTCTTAATCAAATAAGGAAAACAACTAAAACAGGAATCCATTAAGGTATTGTAAATAATACATTGAACTCATTCAATTCCTGCATGTTTAAGATGCATGAATCAATTGTCTGATCAAAGCCATGGTAACTTACAGATAATTCTCTGCATTTTACTAGAAATGTTAATCATAGTCTGGCAACTTGGTTAGCAGCATCCTGATGTGGAAACATCTCAAAATTGGAATGAATAAATAAATAGAATTGTTTAAAGGTTGTTTTCCTGCTGGTGTTTCTCCTGGATCCACTAACTCCACCACAGTGACTGATTACAACCTACTTGCTTCATGTGGAAATCTGTGTATCAGCATTCTAAATACATGCCTAAAATAAGAAGTCCTTGTTTCCTTCTAACTTTAGGCAAGGCATGTTGCCACTTGTGTTGAAATTTCTACTGATTGAGTATTTCCATCAAATGCTGAAAACCCAAACACCTCCCACTCTCAACTCTTCTCCAGTCCAAGTCACACTAGCCACATGTATTGCCCATCTTTTTACAGCTTCCATCTGTGCTTCACTTTCTTTTACTTCCAGCAGATACTCAATCCACTTCTTGGCTGAAATGGAATTTTTTAATTGGTCTTATTGTCTTAAGTTTTCTACTCTTAACTGTCTTTACCAAACCGTTCATAAGGTTTTTTTCCCCCAGTTTGGCAACATAATGCTTATGGCTACTGCTACTCAAGAATTGATATAGATGTTGCATCTTTGATTTTATTTTAATTTTACTGATCACCTTTTCTCTGTGAGGGTGACAGCAGAATGAACCTCAGACACCAAATGCAACTGAGTCCCATGACTACTATTGCTAATTTTAACAACTGCATCCAAGTTACGCTGTTTTTCTTAGTTCTCACCTTCTGCTTGGTAGTAGTCACCATATGAGAAACAATAAGCTTTGTTATGATATTCTGCCTGTCACACTTTGGCAGCAACAGGAGAACTCGCTCATCTCCCCATGCCCAGATTCCCTACCAGGATGGAGCATCCTCTGATTGATGCCTTCGGGGCTCTTGTCTGTGGTCTGAGAGCAGATTTCTCCGCAGTCTGTCATGATGCACGTTATTCTCTGTGTAACTTGTGTAGATGAGATGCTTCTCCTCTTGCTTGTAGCAACTCTGTTTTGCACCTGCCACTTTACTCTCTCTGATTACAGGATTTTACATGCATACTTGCCTATCTTCTTCAACAATCTGTGAGTTCTTCAGTATCTGAAATATTTCTTTACTTTTTTACTGATCAAAGAAATATTCTTGGTGGCAGAAAATTTTGGGGAGAACATGGCCTCCTAAGCTTTCACAGAGCTCAGCATGCTGGAAGTCTTCTTGGCTGATCAGCATTTTTAGTTTTATTTTTTAACCAGAATTGAGCTTAAACTTGTCCTCTGGCCACTGTTTTTAAACAGGGTGATTTGCCCAGACTTCCTTCCCACACAGATTTTAGCTGAGCTCAGAATAAACAAAGAGATTTTTAAAGCACTTAATTTCCAGTTCTGCATCCACATATAGGCATATGATATCATGCCTGCAATGTACGCACTGTTTATTCCTTTTATTCATGATTCAACTTGTTTTCCAATCATGAGAGTGAGAAAACAACTTCAGTTCTCAAAATCTCAGCATGAACTGTAAAATGATTACCTTCCTGTGGGACATTAGCAGCCATGTTTGATCATTTAGGAGCTTCAGTATCTTTAGGGTCAAAGAAAATAACAATATTCACTGCATACCTTATAAAAGGTCGTGTCACAGCCAGAATTGTCCTGATGAACCATGATGGATGGACAATAATAAATGATTTGAGGTTCTTCCTTAATCTAAGTTGAAAAGAAATCATTTCATTTTAAAAAAATACAAAACATAGAGAAAGATCACATACAGTGAACACTGTCATACAGGAGAGCCACAAAAATGATAATTTAATACAATGGCAGTAAATCTGAAAGGAAAATACTGCTCACCGTCGATCAATCATTTGGTAACATTTTTTCATCCAGCCAAGTCCTGGCATCCTCCTTCTTGGCGTAGCTCCGTTCAAGTAGACAATCATATAGTCTTCAGCCACCATCAGTTCTAAGGTACTTATCACATACCTGAAAAATGAACAGAAGCAAGTGAGCTTTTTTTTCTTTTTTTCTTTTTTTTTTTTTTTTTTTTACTATAATCCACTTAAGCCTAAATTTAAGCAGACCACTAGGCATACATCAATGCAAACTAAGGAATTTACAATAAGGCAATGTTTGCTTTTTGTTTTAACTGAAAGCAGACATTTACAACTGTTGACCATGCTTCCCATGGAATTATAAATAGCAAACCACAGTCTTATCTTCAGAAAATGTGGTTTCCTTCCAAAGATTCAGTTTCATAATAAGTTCTCCAATCTCATAGGTGTTATTTTTTCCCTCCTAAGTATACTTAATCAAGAAATTTTACATGCGAGTTCCCAGAATTTCTGATATAACCATTTATATTTATTTCAGGAAAAAAACGTTGGATATTTTAAGGAAAAAAAATGTTATATAAAAATGTGAAGAGATTTAATGATTTGCAGGTCTCCATATCCCTACAGGACATAATAGTAAGGAGCTTACATATATATATTTTTATATATATATATCAATTATTGGCTATGTTGTAGATTGTCAAACTCCATTTCAAAGCAATTAATAGGCTTACACATACAAGAAGGGGACAATCTGACACTTTCATTTCTAGTTCCTGTTGTGCTAGAGAGAATTGTGAATCTCTAAGTCTTAAAATAATGTGAAGGTGCACAGCCAAAGTGAACTCTCCGTTACACTACTCTAGCGGAGAGTGGGATGTAAAATATACTTTGATGATATCCTTAATGGAAGTGGAAAAGCCTCTTAAGGCTCGAAAAGGCTCCTCTGGCAAGTTCCTTACCTGTAATTCTATCTTTGAAAAGGGGCCTTCAGCGAAGTCAAAGAACAACTATTTAATGTCAGTCACAGTTATTGGCAGATTTGTTGTCTAGTTATCAGGTTGAAACTACTGTAGGAATTCTTCCCTTGCAAATCTCTGGGCATTGGGTAAACCTGGTACTGCAAATGACATGGGGGATTTAGAGACCTCTCCTTCAGACAAATGCTAGCAGCTGGTCTAACCTGGAACAAAGTTTTTCACATGTACATACAGCGTTGAGGGCTCTGGCTACCTCCACACACATCTTTATGGGCTGGAATTTTGTGGGGCCAGGGCCTGTGCCCTTCAGCGAGGTCTGGCACCTTGTATGCAGCAAATGGTGAAGGTCAGGCCTCCAGCAGCTTTGGGGTTTTAGCATACACAACCCTGGAATGATTGATTTTTCAAGAGCTGTAAGTGCAACTAGCTGCAGGCTTTTCAGGGGAGTTGCACAGTTTTTGGCTGCCAAGCTAGGTTGCTATTAGGAGCAATTTTGCTTGTTAAAACTGTAATAAATTTGGGTTCACTGGGCAAAATTGTGTCAGACCAGCTTGTCTCTGCCATTTTTAGTAACTGATTTGGGAGCAGCGGAAGTCAAGAAAAGTACTTTAGCTGTTTTTAATCAGCAAATGTCAGTTATCCTGCATTTTTAAAACAAGTGTCAGCAAGTGCCCCTGTAGGTCCTGGAAAAACAGAATATGTTCAAAATATAATACACAGTGATACATCACAGTAATATATAATACACAATGACAGTGAAAAACAATCCGATGATCTAGATTTCTGCTCACTGTCCTCAGCAAACGCTGGGGACCACTGCTGAAACAGTGCAACCATTGTAGGTCCAACACTGCTGCAGATAGTGTATGCCTTGTTGTTTAGGGAATTATTATAATCAGATTTGGTCCTGACAAGGATACCTTCGTTTGGGGAGGGCAGGTAAGTGGAAAATACCTAAATAATGCTCCACTGAAGAATTTATCCCAAACTGCTATTTCACGTCTCATTGAGATCACTCCCCTTCTAATGACCTACATTACCTCTTAATTAAAGACAGGCTCTGTCTCACTACATAATTATGAGTATTAACTTAAAAGACTGTCACACTGCTACATATTACTCACAGGAAAAGATTTTCCATGACATATTTGTAGTCAGTTCGACTGCTGTCTGGCAAGAAGCATGCAGCAAACACAATGATAGCATTCAGACCATCACCATAGTATCCTGCGGAACAAACAAAAAGACATTTTTATCTTTGTCAGAGGCTCTAAACAAGGTAAATTTAAAAAGAAATTTCATGGTCATGGAATAGAGTGTACATGTCAATTCTGAAAAAGACAGAAAGCGAATGCACTATTATCAAGTGAAAAGAAGTTGGACAGTGTTTTGCCAAAATCCTAGCAAACATGCTAAGCACTACCATGAAAAAACCTTACAGCAGCCAGGGAGAACACTCCTTGCTAATAATACAATCCTACACAAAGCCCTGGTTCATTGTATCTCTACTGCAAGCATGTGTTGAATGTTCCCTCTAGCCTGAAGACTAAAGAGCTGAAGAAAATATCCTACACTTCATCTCAAGCATCTTTTGAACGAGGATTTCCAAAGTCTTACCATCCAGTTTATCTGTGTAGCTCCAAAGGCCTCATGATATAACAGTTATGACCGAACTCCACTATCCTTAAAATCTCCTGATGATCAGACAAATTCTCTGCTGCAAGCTTTGTGGAAAATACTTGTTAGCTAGGAGAACTTGAGGAAATGGTTGGAAACTAAAGCATCAAAAGTTCCACATGAACTTAAGGAAAAATTTTTTAACAGTGAGGGTGACAGAGCGCTGGAACAGGCTGCCCAGAGAGGTTGTGGAGTCTCCTTCTCTGGAGATCTTCAGAACCCGCTTGGACGCAGTCCTGTGCCACGTGCTCTAGGTGACCCTGCGTGTGCAGGGGGGTTGGACTAGATGATCTCTAGAGGTCCCTTCCAACCTTAAGCATTCTATGATTCTGTGACACTCCAATTGCCCAAGGCTGGTCTTCTCTGGGGCTCCAGCAGGGCCCAGCTGCAGCTGTAAAGCCACAAAGCTGCAAGGCACCAGTACAGTTGCTTGGTACATATAATAGAAAGCAGTAATATGAAAAGTTTATGATGTATTTATACAGATCAGCCCTTTCCATCGTGTTTTACAATCCCTATGGGCTACTATGGTACTAATAATAAATACAAAATATTTCTAATCACAAGTGAAGGCTGGGATTTATGTAAAATAAATGAATAATCTTGGGGGAATTTGTAAAGATACTGTAGAAATGGCTGCATTGCAGGAGCACTATTGATGCACAGTGATAGAGACTGGATATGCTTGGGAAAGACCTGAAAGACAGTGGGCTGGGAGAAACTAACCCTGGCGGAGTTTCTCCTTTCTCACTCAGCACCTAAGCTGAATCTTAGTTAGCTGAAATAAGAAGTAGACGATGTTACGATACGCAAGTCTCTCCTTGTATTTTTAATCCCCACTATCTTTATGGTGTTGAAGAAATCTTTTATTAAAAGATTCCTAAATCCCTGGAAAAGTGTCTCAAGACACCTAAACATGAAATATTTCATGCTAAAGCGATGCGCTGTGGGGTAATCTCGACATAATCTCAGTCAAAAGGGTAACGAAGAGAGGCTCTTCATTCACGGCACTCAGCAATTCCTACAAGGACATAGAGTATCATTGCTTCCTGTTTTACAAAGAGCAGCCATAAAAAAGGAAAAACCTCAGAAAGAAAAATTTGCATGTCACAAGTAATCCTCCTGCCTTGAGCCATGTTGCTTTAAATCAAGTCTTGGCAAAGCTGCCTGCTGAAAGATGATATTGAGTTTTTCTCTTTCTGAATTTGATTTGGCAGATTTGACCAAATATAATGTACTCAATAAGCTGATGGTACATATTTATTTTACCAATATCAAATTAAGAATGCTAGCCTAGACCTCATCCACTGCAGAATTATTTGGACATTGCAGAAGGTTACATGAAGCTAGCAATCTTCTGTCCCTCTAATGAAGCTAGCATCTTCTGTCTTCCCAGTACTGTGCAGTGGCTCTCAGAGCCCAGAAACCACTAATCTACAGATAAGCTTCCAGAGCTATCTGTACCCAGCATATATGCTTTGCCTTCTCCAATCCCATGCCTGTTGAAGGATGGGGATAGGCAGAAGAGCACAGTACTAGGGCCCGAGTTGAGCCAGGCAGCAACGTGAATATAATCAGGTCGAGCCTGTGGGAGAGCTCTCCCATGGTGTGGGAGAGCTTTGATGTTAGGAACAGCTGACGAGGACAATCTAAGCAGAGATACAGGTATGGCTGATTGGCCCTGTTGTCCTG